GTAACCTTGACCTTAGCAAGGAGATAGATACAAGGGTCCTCGATCCAGTGAATCTAGAAACGTCGGCAACAAGTGCTCTATTGTGTCAGGCCGGTAAAATTGAATTTTCCAATCATGTCTCTCCCAAGTTGTCGTCCCCGATGTTATCCCTCAAGCGAATCCGAACGTGGATGGCATGTGACAGATGATTGCGACTTGGGTCAGCTGAATTAGCCATTCGTGTTCCTCTAGCACTTTTATTTATTATTTGATGATTTGTACGTCAGTTTTACAAGTACCTACACGGAAAAATGAAAATTTAATTTTACTTTTTGTTAGGCCAAATGAGCGACCCAAAGTTGTATTAGGTAATATCTTGGTCCTGAGGTAATTTTTTTGGTCAAATTTTATTAATGTAAGCAGGTGCTTGTACATATATGTATATATGTAAGTATGAGAGCGAAACCTTTTCATTCTCTACCGGAGCAGTTTCCATTTCCGCATCGGAATATTTTCGCAGTTCCGGTGATGTACCGTTTCCGCCCCTTCGGAATCTTCGCTTAAATCAAAGCTCGCTTTTGAAGATCACCGTTTTTTTGGTTCCTTGTGTCTTCTTTACGACATCACACTTGCACGAAGTCATACGTACAAACACATGCCTCCGAATTACTTGTGTTTGTACGTATGTGTGGCACTGAAAAGCACGTAAAATCATAAAGATGTATGTATGTCTTGTGTGCATTTGTGATTTATGTTAGTAGTTTTAATTGAAATGCAAGGCGAAAGCTTGCATAATTAACATACGTGGGATTTCGACCAGACTATGAAAGTAACTTTTGTACTTCTAGACATACCATAAAACCCAGTTAAATACGTAATACCTACTAACTAAAAGAATAAAATTTCGTCTTAATTACGATTATTATTTTTATTTTTGTGACTCGAAACGTGGGCGATGCAATAAGTAAGTATTTATTTTGGGATTGTTTTTGCGTGGGATCAAAGCTTACCCCTGCGACTCAAAGGGGCTCTCACTGACAGTTGTAGTGTTGCAAACTTGTGCGCGATAGGAAAACAAAAACAGCACGGGCGTGGAAAATTAAGGGTGCGTCAAGTTATTGCCGAAGGATATTTAAGGGAAGCAACTTGAAAAAGCATATTTATTTATTCTAAGCGCCCGAAAAACTACTTAACTGATATTTTGTTTACAATCCGATAAGCAAACGGTGGCAACATTTACACTAGCGGACTTGTAAAAGAATAGTTAAAGGAAACGTAAAACGTAATTTTATTTCCCGTAAGTCTAAAATCATTCGGAGGTATTTTATTATTTATATTGAGCAAAATGGTGTACCAAAAGGCTTGAACCAGTAACTCGCAATTATTTAGTGTGGTCATTGTTTATGGTAGGTACCATCTACCTACCTAGTAAATAAAAGTTGCTTCAATCGCTGCATTTGGCTGCTATGTAATGTTTTGTGGGGGTGTCGTGTACCACCTATTCCACCTGATAAAGAAAATAATAATCCTATCGTTGTTTCTGACAAATCGAAGGTCGAATATTATTCAGAAAAGAGAGTCAGATTCATGTTTACCCTCTTTCCGCCTTGAAAATATATTGTTTCCCTTTGAAATTAAATTGGAAGTTTAGAAGTACCTAAGTGTTGTTTTCGAATACTGGAGCCAAAACAGGTTAGAATACAATATTCTCTTCAAAATAACACTTAGAAGGCTGAAGAAGAATATTTTGTATTTATAATGCTCTAGCCATTGAGAAATAGTTATAAATATGACAGTGACACAATTCTAAGCAGGATTAAGTAACATTAACAAATACCTAGTATGTCAGTTTTTGTAACCTTTCAAAATATGCTGACCGTTTATTAGCAATCTAAAAACAAATCCACAAATTATTTTGCATATTAAGTGTGTGTTATTTCTACTAATGACAAAGGTAATCTTTAGGAATTTTAATTCCCATGTTTTCTACTGTCTTATTCTAAATTTTTTACCAAGTTGTTGATAAACGTGAATAGTGCCCAACCCGAAGGATTGTTCCTCTAAAAATCATAATATTCATGTTAGATAGTATCTGATAGCGTTTAATAACACGGCTAGTCGCAGGGAAGTAGTTTTTTGACCACCCTTGTACGGCGTCCTGGTATGGTGAGCGCGGGACTCTCCGCTATGGTCCATTGTCCTGTCAAGATCATGGTTTGCAGTTTGTCAACCCCTGCTATTTCCTGCAGTCAGATGGTTGTACTTGACATAGCTTATTTGTACCTACCAGTATAAATGAAAACCATGCAGGAAACTCGATATCATTTTTTTATAGTAACTGAACGATGAAAACATGAAACTAAAACTGATTGTGAATTACCGATCAAGTATCTTTGTAGGTACCTACTTCATGTTCTCTAAAAAATGAGTAGACTTATAATACTGCATTTGACACGTTTCTACGTTAAGTTGTTGAAACGTTACCGTCTGCCACTTGACGAGTTTTACTTTTGTGAAGTTGTTTTCCCAATAAAGCTGCAGCAAATACCCGTGTAAAAAGGGACAATTCTGCAGGATGCCTGCTTCCGTTTTATCGGCTACCCTTTGTAGCTGTCATGTCATGTCATGTCACATGCTGGGGGTTCTACGTATATACACTTAAAGCCTCTCAATCTCCTTTTTTTATTTATTTAACAGTTGGTATTATAGTGAGTTTTTTCTAATGGTACGAAATGATTTCAAATTTTAATTAAGGGGTTCATTATTATTTATAATCAGTTTAGGTAATATTTTTGGCATTAAGAGTTCCGATCCTATTTATGCTTGTTATTATGTGGCACCCTTCATTTATTTCCTACGTTCTTTGTTGAGTGGTATATGTATCAAGTCATGTTTACTGTTTCCGTAATTGTGAATTGGTACATGTTAGGAAATCGAAGCATACAAGCGTAGCTTATTATACCGTATTTTTTATATTACAAGTGAGTTGAGTATGTTGTTGCCATTACTATTTATCGTTAGATTAGTTAAATCGTCGATAAGGTGATCGCAATCTCTCAATAATATTATGGTATTTGTTCTAAATCAGTTTAAATATCTACCTAAGGTAATTTTCAGAATCGTTTTATTTTTTAATTATTGAAATCTCGAAGGAAATATAAACTAAAAGGTTCTGCGGATTTCACGAACAGTTAACGTAAAAGTATGCAAATTGTTTTCGGTTTGAAAGCGAGCACCGAACAAGAAATTTCGATATCTACTTGTGCCATATCGTCGTAAACCAACGGCATGTCGGTCCCAAAACCATATATTAACCCCTTTGAAAGCTAACGGCGTCGGCGTCGGTTGTGGGTCGCACCGGTTGTTGTGGGACTTCTGTGATAACAATACCCAATGTATAAACGATATATAATAAATTAAACAATAAAGTTGACGCCATTCGAAATTGACCATTTGAATGCAGCCGGCGAACTGCGGAATTATACTAGTCGATATTTAGTCGAATTACAATTCTCTCGCTGTTTCGGCCCTATTGCCGTCGCTATTCTCCAGTCTGGATTAGCAGCAGTTTATAGAGGGAAATAAACGAGCTAATGACGCCAATTCGAAAGGATTAATAATAACGCCCTCAGTAAAATCCGATTGCCTAACACTCAGTAGTTATAGCTATTGTTATCAACTGATATTTTTGGTTGCAAAATTAAAATTTAGGCAATTTGTTCCTTGAAAACTTTATCGGCCATTTCAACTAAATCTTTAATAGAGGGACGTTGGCTGCATATTAGGAATCCCATTGTTTTTCGGTAATTTAATGGCGTTCTAAACTAATTTTAAGTTAAGTTTTCTTCCCTGGTTTAATCGACTTATCTCTTTATCCGTCGAACAAGGAAATAGATTAATGCCAGTATAATAAGAATACAATCAGCAAGAGCACCCGCTCCCTCCGCGTGCGTCCTCTTAATGAAAGGATAACAAAGGAAAGATCAAAGGAGGCAAGGGAAGGCTTGTGCGCGGGTGCACTTTCTCTGATTACACAGTAAAATATCAACCCTTACTACTTCCGAATAAGGACGAGTTTTTGTCATAATTAAAATGTGTATACGTTCACTAAATAGGAAACTAATTCTAAGTAAATTAAATTTAATTTAAACCCCTAAAAAATACTGATGACATGATCAGCAATTACATTTTTTGATTCAGAATTAGTGATCTATAATGATCAAATTTTAATGTTTTAGATAGTTTAACGGATTTTCTACAAAATTAGCTAACCAATTGTATTTTAGCTGAAAATCTTTTCAGAATTTAAGAACTGTACTTTGAAAGTTAATGTACAACCGACGGAGAAGATGAACTTTGTTAGTTTTGATACTTGAGGTTCATAATCCTTCGGAAACTTGTTGAGAACATTCAAACTATTCATCTTACTGACAATGAGTACAATTAATTAATTGCCAACGATGAGTAGTTTAGGTCTGCAATTAATAATCTACTCCAGATCATTCCGCTAAAACTGAAGCATATCTGAATAGTTGAAGATAGCGTAACAAATTAAAAACGATTAATTTTGATAATTATCGTTTATAGGAACTTAAGCTGAAGTTTTATTTAAGAGTGAACCAATCAATAGTGTATTTTATGGTTTAAAGCAGTTTTAGAAGTAAAATGTTACTTAGCTTTTACATTATTTTACAGTATAAGGAGGGTAAAAAATGAGCCTGTCGTTTAATTAGTGGTTTCGCGACGCTTATGGGCGAAGAGACGCCTTGAATAACTTTTCACCTTTGATATCGAGCGACTACTGGCTGACTGTGTGCAGAAACCCAAACGAATAGTAGTCAAAAAGTTGTTGATGACTGCACCGTGATGATTTTACTTTTGTTACATTTAATTTTTGTATCTAAGTACTATCAAAATTAATGACTTCTAGTGGTAGTATGTATTAATATGTGGGGACGATGAAAACTAAAGATTATGTTTTGGCAAAAAGAAATTTAAAATTGTTTTTCAATTTTTTACAGAGGGAATCATCTCAAAGGGATGCCGATCGAGAACGGAGACTTCGAGCAGAGAGTGAAGCTCGGACAAAGCAGGCGCTTCAGGAAGCGGCACGATGTCGGGCCCGACTCAGGCTGCTCACCAACGAGTTCACTAGGTGAGTTGTTACATAATAATAGATAGTTATTGTTTATATGAACCAATTTAGTGGTTACAGGTAGTAAAAGAGGAACGAACGCAAGTCGTAACTAACTTTGTACAGACTTTATTCGATTTGTAAAAGTTAATCATTTTATTGGAAACGTCAATCACTTGGTAGAAAGCAGTGCGTAATGTGATAGAGTAAAAATAGAGTGAAAAACAGTAATGGTGCAATCTCATTCCAAATAGCTGCTCATTGAGTCGAAAACATGTCTCTTGCTTTACGTCTCCCACTCCACCCCCTAAACTAATTGATTGATTGATTGATTGATTGATTGGGCTAACTAACACACGAAGACGTGAAACACAAGAGTACAGTACGTATTTGTATGTATAATCAAATCAGTACTTGTTCCGATTTCGAATTCCGATGTACGTACTACGTACGGTCTCTACACATATGTATAACGAGTTACATTTTTTTTTTGCACTTGCACTGCCTAGGTTAATTCCACGATCGTTAAAACAATGCCCATTACAAAAGGACGAAGTGTATTTTTTCTATAGAGTTTCTAAGGTGTTTGTATCATTTTTAAAATTATTTTACTTCAATTGAAATCCATATTTAAACTTCTCATTACACCATTATTTTGGAATTTATTAACGCTGCTTAAGAAATCAAGCGTTACCTTTTGTAGTTAAGGAATTTCAATTTTTGCAAGGATAAGATAGTAAACTTGATAATTCTATTTAAGTCGACATCCCCTAATACGTTAATTTTCGATAATATACAAAACAGCGATAAAGTTTGTAATTTCGGCGAAATGCAGTTCTGGGCGATTATGTAAAAAAAAAGCTGTAGGGTGGAATTGACCCAAGACTTTTGCTTGTCATTACCAGTGCTCGTTCGCTTTGGGTGCAATCTAGTTGTAATTCAGAATGAAATTGTCACACGTCGAGATAACGAAGCGTTGTTAAGGTTTAATTATTAATTAAAGTGACATTCGGTAATTATACCGTAACTGTTACTATGCGACCCCCTTTCCAACTCCTTACTTATCACACCCTTGTTTCGGGTGGATGTCTAACTTCCTCTTCGTTCAATTCATATAAACGGTGGTGGAAGTTAACCCTTAAAAATATTCAGCTTATTTTCTTTATTCATAAAATGACGTGGGACAATTAACTCAAAAATTACAATACCTCTAGTTTATTTATACTTCCCGTTGTTTTTGTATCTTACTAACGCACAAGTAAAGGCATTCGTGTGTATAACGTAATTTTGGCCCTTTATCGGATATAATCACATCGTGATAGCGAATAATCAGAGCTTTTGTTCGGACCTGGTGATTTATAATACCTCGTCTGCTATAACGGCCTTATTTCGCCAATCCCGGAACACTATTTAATGGAGAAATTAAATTTCTAAGTTAAACGTATCAAAAATCCTTTCAATTTCATCAATTTAAATTCGAAGAGAAGAAAATTAAATCGTTTACAGAATTGTCATTTTATGTCGAATGAATATTCATCAGCAAGCGATTTGATTTCTACAATTCGTACAATATTGCTTTCTACTGCTGGTGTTCATAATATAAAACGTCGTCTTTCGTTTGAGGAACGCCAGCATCGGCGTCGCCGTCGCGGCGCCGTCGTATGACAGCCCTTTTCCCAAGTGTACTGTAATAAACATCAGCACGGTCACTGATTTTCCTTTTGTCCTCAACGCTTTCGATCTGTTCATATTTTCTGTCGAAAGTTTCCAAATCCGCGCCAACATTTTTAGTGAAAGATCGACTGGATTTACTACATTTAGATTCGTTGAATGATAACTTTTTTGCAACAACACGATGAATAAAGAAAAATTCAAATTGGACATTAATAATTTTGTGGTTTGGTGCTAGTAACATCTACACTGTGTATAGTAGTTATCTACTTCCAATGTAATTTAGTTTTCAAACGTAATAATTGCAACAAAGGGCGGGCTACTACCAAAATGAAGACGAAAATCTGGTTAACTTCGTTCTTAAAGTGATTATAATGGCAAGTCGTAACTTTACTGAATTCATTATCGTCCTGTGGTTCCACTTTTGAATTAAATTTTAACTTTCTTTTGGAATGGATTAAAACGCGTACAAACGTTAAAACATTCTTTGTTTGATAAATTGTTTTGTTCTTTTCTGAAAAGTAATCTAAACAGGACCCGAACAGCACCACGCTAAATTGCACAAGTTATTAGATTTATTTACAATTAGGATTAAAAAAAAATTGAATTTTTAAGTTAATCGTGATTATTATTATAAAACATTTTTCGATTTTATAATAAATATTATACATACAATCCCGGAGTACGTAATGTAAAATTATAAAAATTAGTAATTGAATGAATGAAGTAGTGAAGCTCTAATAGGTTTAATAAAATAAGAGAGTTGGTATGTAGGTGGGTGGTGCACTAGGGATTAAATATTTGTATTTCGTTTGAAAACGGAAAGTCGCCCCCATAGGAAGGAGGGTAGTTGCTGCTGGTGTCTTTTTATTTGAAGTAGAATGAGGGTTGCTGTACACAATGGCTTACTGAAGTTTAAATAAAAGCGCGTAGGGGTTGTGTAACCTAGCAGTACCTAAATAACACGAGTGGAAAGTAGTGTAGCTACTATTGGATAAAAATTGGACCTTACAAAGATGAATTTTCTCGTTTTAGATTAGAAAAATATAAAAAAAAACTAAGTAGCTACAGTAAATAAATACAACATGATAATTAAGTGTATTAATATATAATATTCCAATTACTGTGGTAATTCATGATGCACTTAATAGCAGCTTAACAGGCGTTATAAATATTATCAGTGGCGGTTACTATCCAGAAAATAAGTGAAGACGGTCTTCACTTGAATAGTCGCTGCTGAATTATATTAGGAAAGAAAGAAAGGAAGGAAAAACAGGAGTGAGAGACACGTCTCATAAGAACGTTTACCCCTGAGGTTTCATCATGTTAGCGCCCTTCTTGTTGCAAGTAACCCCTTATTAATTTTATTATAATTAATGGTATCGTTCTGATAACTGCGAGGGTGATATGTCTCCATACTAGTGAGTGTAATGGTGAAATGAAGTCAAATTAAAATAAAAAAAATAAATATCAACCGTCCTGAAAATGATTCTCGCGAATAAAATAAAACGTATTTGGGTCAATTAATCTCGAGTTCAGACAATAGAAGTAAAACAAAATTGAAATTATTTATTTATTTATTTTAATAATAATAATATTTTTTTAAATTTAAAGACCAATGATTTAATGTTTCACGGGTCGTCTTAGGTAGAATTTGGAATATTACATCTGTCCCTGAAGGGAAGATGGAGCTTTAATTGAAAAATCCTATCCTTGCGCACCGTCAGGAAAAGCCGCACTTACGCCAACTATTGTACCGTCGACAGCTCTTCTCCCTTCGGTACCCTCTGAAATATCATTTCTCTTGCCCTTATGCGGCAAGGTTTTCCAAATTATGTGCTCTTGTGTATATTATATACAGTAACGATATTTATCACAGGCATTCTGGACCTGACAGATTCATTTCACAATTTTTCTCCTTTTTTCGCGGTTAATGCTACACTTTTGTTCGTGTCATAAAAACAATTTGACGATCAGGAACAGAACTTTCGACTCCAATAACGTTTAGCTTACTATAATTTTATTAGTTCTTATTATATTTTAAAATCAGATTTGCCCGAATAATCTATGCAACTTGGAAACACGGGGTGTAGGTTGGGTTGCATATTCCCTATTTTCTAAGAAAACTGCATGGAAACGTGTTTTTTTAAAAAATGTTTTGCGGACTTTCTTATTTAACTGTATCTTTGTATATTATACTTACACATATATTTTGTATGCCTGTATATTTTTTTAACAGTGTAGGATTATCCGGAACAGTTTTTCTCCATTTTCTCTCTGTTTTTTTTTTTTTTAATATTTCGAAAACCTAGATTACTGTTACGGAACAATGTTCGATCGAGAAGATGGAAAGTTATTGCGGACTTGGTGAAGCTATAAAATCGTTTTAGTGTCTTTTTATAGGTGGGCTCGGGCCTGAGGGGTTACTACCCTCCGCCTCAGCGACGCAGATGACGATGATAACGAAACTGAATAACTTTCGAAATTAATTTTCTTCCTAATAAAAGCGGTTTAATTGTAACTCTGACGTGGATACCCAGATGAAAGGTGTCCTGGCAAAACTTTGTAAAGGCAAGTCGTAGTAGATTCCAGTTGCTATAGCAATATGGGATCGTTCAAGTGAGTATTTTCTCCATTGTACGATAAAGCTGGGCTTTTGAATCGTTTTATAATTATGAAAGGGGATTCAAAATGATTTCAATAATAGCTAGAAGATAATCCCAATCTAATTCTTTTAAGTTACCATCGCACTAAAATTGGAATCTTAAGATGATTCATTTTTGATATAGCAAATACTCGACAACATCATGTAGAATCTGTAGAGAATTAATTTTTAATGTGGCAAATATTAAAATAGAACAATATTTAAGCTTTCTGGAGTGCACTTTTATTTATTCAATAAAAAAAAAAAAACAAATAAGAAATACAGTGGAGATGATTGAACTTTTCCAAATAAAATGTTGTAGTTACTTAATTTTTCTATGAAATATATTCAATTTCCACCTTAAGTTCCAAAGAGCCATAGTCAGTGGATAAAAGGCACTGTACCAGTGAAGTGGCACAGATGGCAAGACAAGAGCTCTCTAGATGCCCTAACTCTGCCACTTTGATCTTATATTCTATTCACTGAGCTTTATTCGCCCTTTCCCTTATTAAAATGACACCATGTCATCAATATGAACATGAACTTATAGTTCTTGAGCATCATAACAATAAAAAGGCAGCCAACAAGACATCTTTTTCATCTTTTGACCCAGAAAGGGTCTTTCATACTTGATGAGTGTTTATTCTTTCTTTTCACTTATTTATTTTTTATTTGATTTTTGCGTTGTGTGCCTAGAATACATATGTTTATAAATATGAAACTAGAAATATTTTATTATTTACAAATAATTAATATAACGTTTTTGTTTATTTCAGGATGGAAGAGACTGTTCGGTCAATGCTTGTTTATAAGAGTAGATCGGAACAGCTTCGACAAGAAAAGACTGCGCTAACCGTGGCATTTGAGGTGAATTTAATTGTTATTATTTTTGTATTTCTTTGTGTATTTCTATGAAGAAAAATACCTTTTCTCAGTAAGTTGACCAAATGAAGCGAGTAAAATAAGTTAGCTATTAGGAAAGGCCTTAGTTTGAGCGTTTCGGGATTAGGGAGGTCCCCTGTCCCGCGGTGTCAAATTAATAAAAAAGACGACAGGGGAGATCCCCCTTGTTTGCATGGAACCGCACTCCCGTGTTGTCTAATACTCGACTCTGGCTTGTCCGGAAATTCTGGGGTTTTTAACCAAACTACCAAGTATGAAGTCAAAAACGATTTTTTTTAACTGTTAAAAGCCTTTTGTATTTCTTCTGGTTCATATGTTACGAAAAAATACAATACTATCAGCTTGACTGATGTTTGCTATGCAACATTGATATATAGCGTGGCTGTTGGGTTGCATACCACCAATTAAAATAATCCTTTAATATTAACTACATATAAAAACCCCCTAATTCCAAGTTATTATACATTGAAAATATGAGCTTTGCTAGTTTAGTATTATACGATTTAGGACATGTAAGTACGAAGAAAAGAAAATTAATTAAATTAATGAAGGATACGGTTCGGGATATTGTGGATATCATTAGCACGAAAAAGGCAGATTAATAATCGCAAATACTCATACAATTATTTTTCCACATAGCATAATGTACATTTGTATGTAGCGATACACTGCAGCGCGTAAACAATTTGAAGACAGGGTGAAATTATTACCGGAATTAATCGTAAAAGGTGGGCGTAAACGGCCGCGAGTAATATTAGGGTTCTGGCCTTCTCACTCTGCTATGCTATTTGATTATTGGAAATTCCTTTCAAATTAGTTGAATAAATTCAACTGTTACCTACCAAAATGTCTTCAATTCAGTATGCAGTTCTATTGTATACTATATTTATTTGTAATTATTCTCAAAAACAACACCCAACTAAAATGCCCCTTTTATTGCTGTTGTACAATAATTATTTTCCTATCAAGGAGTTCAATGTTCGAGAGCATTCAAACTTTGGAGACAGTCATACTATACGGCTTCTCATAATAGTCGTGTGCCTGATCCAACTTCGTCAGCGAGCTTTAGACGACATCAAAAGCTTTGTTCTCAAAGTAGATAGATATTAAGCTATACAACAACGCTTTTACACATTCTCAAGCAAACCAACACTAAACAAAATTATTACTATTGTTTATGTAAAGAAATTAATACTGTGCAGTTAACTCGAAATTATTATTATTCAATGCAACAATTTAATCTTGTTTCACAATTACATAGTTAATATTGTGAACCTGCGAACGTTTTTAATATTTAATTTTAATTACTTAACATTGGAAAAGTGAAATTTTAATGTCATAGTAAAATAAAAAGATTTTAATATATTCTCGTCGCATTTAATTCAATCATTATTTAATGAAGTTTACCAGTTTACCAGCTACCAACTGCAGTTGCATGGGGAGCAAATATGTTGTAGAATCCGACTCTGAGTGTTCAGATAGCTTATCTCCAAATAAAATGCGTACGGCGATTTAGCCGAATTTCCTCGAACAACCACAAAAATCGATAACAGTTACGGGGGGTTGTAATAGTCTCGCTCGTTCGTCTCTTCAGCCCTCGTACCCTCCCGTACAGTCTTTAGTTGTTAATCTGTTTCACCCCAGTAACAAGTGAACAAGAACGTCCACTAGAACTACCCCAATTCGTAGTTGAGGCCATTTACGTTTATGCAAAACGGGGTGATGCAAAATGCCAACTTCTCCCCCTCTCTCTTTTTCCCCCCATTACTTTGTAAAGCTGCGTCGAAAGTGATATCATCCCCACACGCAACTGCGTTAGCCAAAACGACGCAAAGAAGATGCATTTAATACATTTATATATTTCTGCCTGGAATTAGTGTTTAATATTATATGTTTAGGTATTTCTGTCAATATCGATCAAAAAAAGTGCAGGTGTTGAACATTTCTTGATATTGGTAGTTTATTAAGCGATTTGTTTTGGAGCATTTCTTCTCCATACAACATTATGAGCGAAAGATAAAGGGGGTAATGAATCGTGAAAATTTAATGGCAACTGTTACAATCCCCCATCCGATTGCGTTATTAAAGGAAATGGTGTGAAATTTATCACTCTCCTAGTCGCTTTGGTTACATTGATAAAGTAAATGTAATAGAAAGCGGTACAACTTTCCTATACGTATATTTATAAAAAAAATTTTTTTGGGGACACAAAATCGTGTTTTTCATTTACATAGGTACGCCATAAATTGTATAGCAATTGCTTCTTTCAATTTTATAATGAACTTACAGTTGAGTTTAGGTGAGGTTGAACGTTAAAGTGGCGTTGCTAATTACTTTTGCCGATTACCTACCCCTCTCGCCTCTTCCTTTATAATGGATATTAATAATCGTGATTCATCAGAATGAGGGCTGTCGTTTGTAAAAAGTAAAGCAACCCTTTAACTGTTACACAGTTGCTACCATATTAATGCGTAATTTGATTTACTTTTATTCAGAATGGTAGAGATTATTATGAAATGTTAAAAGGGATGCAACATTATTTTTATTTTGTTCTAGAATCGCTGTCAGCAATACCAGAATACAATCACTAGATTGAACAAAGAGATTTCGTCTTTACGAGAGCAGCTAGACCAAATAAATTTGGACCCATCTCTTAGAGACGGAGCCGTAGCAGCCCAAACAGCAGCTCTTCACAAACAAGCTGAAGAGTCCAGAAGACAATATGAGCGTTGCCTAGATGATGTGGCAAATCAAGTAGTCAAAGCTCTGTTGGCTCAAAAGGTGAATCGGCGCCAATATATTTACGATCATTGGTATTTCTTTTTATTTAACTACTTACATGGACACCAAAACTTTTACACTATGCGCTTTTTTTTTTAAAGAGCATTATAAAGTATTTCAGGTCTAGATTTTACTGTTGACTGTTTAAATTGATTTTGACATTATTTTGACGGGAGAATGCCGGGCGAATTCGATCATTATTTCTAACGTCTTTTTTATTTTTCTCAGGGCTTGAAAGAAGAGATATCTAATCTAAACAAACGAATCCAGGATTTAGAATCACAAAATCGTACTCTTACATCAATGTTAGTGCATCAGCTCCAAGGAGATTCGACGTCCTTGTCGGATTCCGAATTGTCACCTTCTCGACATCTTGCGCTTGAAGAATACAAAGACTACGACGCCACGTCGACGGATGCTTCTCCTTCGCATATTCTTACTACCAAGCAGTCATCTGACATGAAACACTGTAACTCCTTTAATTCTGATGTTTTGAACGAGACTAAGTCCGAAAGCTTCGTAAAGATGCATGAAAAACATTTATCTGCTGATTCCAATGTGGTTGGTAAGTTTAGTGTCAGAAGAAAATAATTAAAAAGACTGTTTACATTAACATAGATATCGTTTACAGATAATAAGTTGTCCTTGGAAGACAAAAAACGACATCAGGTGCTGACGAGGTTGTGGACGGAACTGAAAGGTGCAGAGGTTACTCCTAAAAGACTTTTGGAAGCCCTTTCTGCTGTAGATCCGTCATTTCGTCTGCCTCCTCAAAGGCCTGTTTCTTTAAATCTTCACCTGCCTATATTTCAAACGGCCAAAGGTACCTTCAGATCGCGGCCAGTCTTGGGTAATATCATTCACATGCAAGTAGTCAATGAATGGTGCAAAATATTATTCATTTCAGCCCAAACTTGTTCCAAAAGTGAAGAAGAAACTATTGGTAACGAATCTCCTGAAAGTGGAAATCGTGACGAAGGATATTCCACAATGTCTTCCGATGTTCAAGCCGAAGTTACTAAACCATCATCCGAAGTTACGGTATGTGCACGAGGTCTGGAGGAACTCAAAGAAGCAATAGATGAAACTGACATTGTCGAAAGTAGACTTTTTATAGCCGAAGCAAAGGAACCGGACGTTTTATATATTCCCATCAATTTATTAAGTTTGAATCCGAGGTAAGTATTAAAAAAATCATAGCGTAACATTTAATTTTCTTGAATAAATGGTTTGCATTTAATTTATAGAAATAGTTATCCTCCAACCAAAGACATCCTTCCTTTCCAACACATAATGCGCAGCTTTTCCGATTCACATCTGTGTATCAAGATAACAACATCGCCTAGTCCATGTTATTCGTTAAGTTCTCCGATATCTAGCAGTCCTAGTATACTTTTTCTTGATATTACCGAAAAGAAGTATAATCCTCTCAGAAGGACAAAGGCCACGAATAGTTTGGTCGGTACGTTCATTTTTTTATCGTAGCTACTCAAAAGTAAAAATAATAAAAGCAAAAAAAAACATTTTTAGCAACCACTACTACACCAGATTTTTTTGACGATCCGTCATCCCCAGCTCTCGAAGAACACTTGGAGCTCACCAGCTGGGATGCCGAGTATATACAACACTGGCTTCTTTTAGACGAAACAAGATCTGCCATCCAACAACACCAACGTGATCTTTTAGAATTAGAATACGATCGAACAGAATTAGAAGACTGGAGTCTAAGTCTTTCCTCTGACGATGTTCGTGCAGAGCAGTTGGTAAAAAAATACGAATCGGTAACCACTCCCAGTCAGATATCTTTATCTACGTTACCCAGCATTCAAGAGAACAACGCTCTCGAATTGGAAGAAGATGCAAACGAATGTTTATGGAATGGATCCAGTTATATGATGGATGGTGATGGACACGAAATAGTAACGTTATTAATGGATGCTGGTAGCAGTGTACAAGCGGAAAAACAGTGGCCATATGCGGTAGGAGGAACAGGGAATAATTCACAAATGGCCAATTCGCCCGAAAACAGCAGTTGGTCAAGCAACGGGTCAGATTGCTGTCACTCTTACGAACCGGAAACGTGTTCAAAACGATCTTCGGCCGCTCTGAGCGGTTGTAGCGATGATACTAGCGAAATGCCAGCCATAGGAACTGATTTTACAAGAGATTTTTATAGGTAATTGAAAATGCTTCTTCGTTTTTCGTGTATATAAACAGTTTTACAGAAGAAATTAATTGTTTTTAGGTTAGTAAAATTCGAAAGTACTAAAAGTTTGGCGTCGACATCATCTAGAAGTCTGGGAGGTGCGTTATCGGAAAATGGGGATCGTGAAATGGCACTACAAAACGTCCTTACATTTATAGCCGAACAACAGAAGTATACGCAAAACAAAGACTCGCGCCCATGTTCCGTTACTGAAAACACTAAAGACTTTAACGTTGAAGGCCCACAACCTGCGTCGCAATGTTTGGACGATTCAAAAAACTCCGCAGTCGCCGACGAGAACTACATTAAAGTGAAACATTTAACCTCTGAATTGTCTGCAAACGTAAAAGCCGAGGACCTAAAGTACTGTAATATTTCCTATGCGGAAGAAGTGTGTTTAGTGACGCCTTTGGATGTGGAAAGTGAAAATTGTTCTAACATATGTGTACATCCAGTTGACATTTGCAGTAGCGTTAATGTCGATGCAATATCATCGTCGATGGTAGACATGACGTCAGATCACGTGGATCAAAATAGTGTTTCTAATGATATTAATAAGTCTTGTGACAGTGATAACACTAGCGCGACGACTACTGCTACGACCCCTATGAGTGAATCGCTCACGTCTACTATCAGCACCTCTGACACCGTAGTTTCCAAAATTCCACGGTTGAAACCGACTGCTTCTAAGATCCCCGTGAGTCCAAATCGAGTCTCCAAAACCTCGCCCATTAGTAACAATAACAATAAAAATAATAACATCAACAATAATGAAAAATCTCCGAAACTTCCCAGGAGTAAGATTCCTTATAAGAAATTGTCAACTCCTACTAAAAATCAAGCGCAGCCCAAAATTCACGACCAGTCGAAAAGTGCAAACGAAGAGGAAAATATTCATGTGATAACGGCCGAGCGCCTTCCCCGATTTAATCCTTGTGATGCTGGTAGCGTCATAGAAGGACCTCCTCATCGAGCAATAAGTTTTCACGAACGCGCAACTTCTAAAGATGTAATCGACGAATTAAACAGAATAATTCAGAAAGGAGACGACGGAGTACAACAGGGCAGAGAAGACATTAGTGGTGATGATAATATGAGCAATCCAAAATTGGATGAGAACTGTAAAGCTACTGGTTGGATCCATGTAGAAAAGGATATCGATCTCACCGATCCCAAGGTAAATTATTCAAATTTGTAAGGAAATGGAATCAGTCTCGTGATTTTATTTTAGACAAGTTAGAAAATACAGTTATAATAATGAAGTGTAGAATTAAATAAGTGGACTTAAAACCAACTACAATTAAAAAACTATTTAACCCCGTCTGGCTTTGATTCTACACTTCATAGATTAAAGGGGAGAAATGAAATCTACAGTAACACTTTTTACATAATATTGATATCAAATTGAATATCCTGTTGGACGTAATGAAAACACCTATACCTATCCTATTTTATTAATTTATCAATTTAGGCAAGAGCGAATTTATTGGATGTTATGATGGCGTCTGTATCAAGTGATTCTTCGCCAACGTCGTCATGTGGTGGGAGCATAACTAGCGATTCCAATGAAGAACCTCCAGACTATGGACATTTACATAGGATTCATAAGTTTCACAGACAAAAGAAAGGTATATGATTATTAATTATTTATTATTGATTCTTATTCTAAGGAAAAGGAAATTGCACTTCAATCGGAAGTTTTTGGGTTTTTGTTTCGTGGACAAAATTTTTCGGTTCAAAAACCGCTCTGCTGTTCTGTCGTTAACCGATTTTTAATTCTAATATTATTACAGTTCGTTCAGACTCGTAATATGTTGTTATTTTTGTAGTTCAGTGCTTTGATTATAGAATCGCCTTTGGTTTTCCAATTTTTATAGCTTTTGTTATCTATATTTAAGTTTGTTTACTGATTTTAAATAAGAAAAAAAACTATTTAAACGTTGCCGTTTTTGATACTATAACATGTAATCAAAAACTAATTTAATATAAGGAGAAATAAATGAGTAAGCAAACTAAGAGAAAAAGCCTGAGCGAACTGTATTCTTTCGTACAATTTTGTTGTGGGGTTTTCAAGCTTCGACTTCCTCGGCACCGTGCACACCGATCACAGAAACTGCTGTCTGAACAGTCACCCACTGTAGTAGTACAACGTCCGTGTTGTGTTTCTTCTAGTCCATGCTCATCGGCCCGAACTGGCCGTTGTGCGTATGCCCCCCAACAACGCCCGCCCATCGATTATTGGTCGTCCCGACTTTTACGTTAGATACGGCGAGAAAGAACGAGAAGCTGTAGCGTGTTTCGACTTTTTAGACAACTTCAGTAATAGTAGCAGCAGTAGCAGCGACAATTGTTCCTTGCATCACAACGACGTCGAGAAATGTATTGTAGGTAATGACAGGGACGGGCATCACAAGGGGATGATTCATGCTTGTTATAAAGATAACGACGGCATGATGGTAAAAAGCTAATGATCGTCGCAAAACATGAGAAATCCAAAGAGCATTTATATATAAATAAACCACGTTTTTTGTACATTTTGTAAAGTATTTCACCCATAAATTATCTTCCGTACACGCACCTGCGAGAATTGGTATTATAATGTACCTGTCGTACTATGCCCAAGTTTATAACTTAACTTATTTATTATTATTTATTTATTTTGAGAAAGTCGGAAGCCCTAGCTGATTAACCAATTTTACGTTACACTGTACAGAAAGTTTCAGTTGATTTGCTAATAATAAATTAAAATATTTCTGCGATTACTGATTCACTTGCTACTTGGTTACGTTTTCAAAAACGACTCATAAGTTTTTGGCAATTAAATGAATAATCGATCTATCAAAAGACAAAAAAATTTAATTCCTCTCAATAATATTTGTGTATTTCAAAAAAGAAACACATTTACTATAGCCACTAAATCTACCACAAGTTAACATACGATTACTTTTTGTTGTAAGCATTTATTTATTCATTAAAAATGCATTTATTTAAAAAGAATGCTGTGCATTTTTTTTCTCTTGACTTTGACAGTGTATTAAAACGAAAATTAGAATACCACCGAAGGTAGTTTTCTAATTGTTACGAATATAAGTATGTATACTGTGTATGTATAGTGTCCGTAGAGTGATGTATTTTTTATATAGGCTTTCTCGTTATATTTTAGTACAAATTTAGATAATACAATAAAGAATTTAACGATTATTACTCATTTCCCTCTATTTCCTTTTGTGTTGATAATTCTGACAAAAATTAAAAGTTTTTGAAACAAATAATTATAAAAAATATAATAACTAATAAGAAAGCGTTACTCGCAAACATTAGGACATGAGAGTGAAATTAGAATAAATAGATAAACAAAAAAATTATTCATTATTAGTTGGATTAAATTGATTAATTAAGTGTTGCAGTTAATTATTACTACTTAAATGCATTAAAATATGTAGTAACGCTTTAATTATTAGCAAATTTTGTGAAATTTTCTGATTTTTGTTTTGACCATGCAAAAAGTTATGTAATTACAATATTGTAATTTAGGTTGCATAAACTTGGTAGATATTCGTATTTTAAATATTTCGCGCCAGTCTAGAAAGCTACCATGACATGACGCCGCAGCGCTCTATTCCGTCAAAGTTGGTAACGTTCGAATAACTTCGTTGACAGTTGCATTTTCGTGTTTATTGATATACAATTATCTCTCATTTTATCCAATTATCGCGATAATTAGTTAGAATGAATGCTTTTGAATATTATTAAAATATTTTTTAAATCAGTATGTACAACAATCAACAACTATTTAGCTTTCTTCTACAAGATTAACAGGTATGTCAGTCTCCTGCCTGAATCATGTTTAATTGCTGCCTTTGTGCTTTGTGGTTTTAGTTATAAGTTGTAATAATTTCTGTGCTTTCTCGGTAAAAAAATTTGGAACAACTAGTACTACATACAAAATTTACATCAAACCAGGTTCTGTAATTACAGTTTTATCCGTGATGTGCATGTCACTACCTGCCTACATATATATATATATATATTAAGGTAGTAAATTTCAAAAGTATGTCTACTGACTGCTTTATTAGCAATAAGGTCATTTTTTACATTAGTTGACATTGGAATTGAGACATGAAGTTTAGTCAGGTAGTTAGTACTCACTAAGTAGAATCGTGTGGTAGCATTAATTCCGTGCGGAAACCAATGTAGCTTGAGATACAGGCTCCTAAAGTTATTTAATCGGAAGAAATTTCGATTGGTACGGCCCTGGCTGCAGCCCTTCGTCAGCTGTTCTCGCCAAATATGCATTGATGACGTCATTGTTTAGTTAGGTAGATGTATGACAGACTCGAGTTTGTTTAATGCCCCTGCCCGCCGAAGGCGGGCTGATACATTAGAATAATGTTAGGAAGATATGTTTTAGGACAAAGGATGTTTGGCGGGAACAGCTGACGGAAGGCTGAAGCCAGGGCCGTACCTACCGGTATTTCCTCCGATTAAGAAAACTTTAAGGGCCTGTATCTCACTCACATTCATTTTTAAACAAATAATAAACAAAATTCTAGTAAATACTACTACACTACTTTACTTGGTGACTACTACCTACCTGACTAAACTTCATGTCTCAATTCCAATGTCAACTAATGTAAAAAATTACCAGCAATAAATTTTAATAACATCTCTTGGTGACTTGCAAAAAATTACGTGCATAGATAAAGTCAAGTGATTATCGTAACTGTACGCATTTATAAAAAACGAGGTACAACTAACAGTTCTAAGCTATTAAACTTTTGTTCAAAGAAACTAATCATAAACTAATTAATTCTTTAAAACATTAATCAGATATCTACTTCAATTAGCCGTTTTTTTTTTCAATCGAGGTTGTTACAACCTTATCTATGAATTTTAATATCAATCAGCTGAAGAAGTAATTTCAAACGTTGTAGTTTCTGAAGAGATACTTATATGCAAACGAATTTACAT